TAATAACTATTGTTTTGTTTAAGCCACATTAATGCCCTAGCAACTTTATTCTGTCGTACATTAAAATCTCTAAATGATGTTGGGTTATTTGTTGATTGACGTCGTATGACAAGAATATCTAATGTTGATGGATGACATGGAAGCCACTTTGTAATTTCTTATACATCTTGTGGGAAATTGATAACATTTTTACGATATCCATATTGCCTACCACAGAGTCTATATACTGACATTACTGTAAAAACTTGTGCAATTAACATTTCTTCAATTTTCGTAAGGCCTTGTAATTCTTCAGGTATGTCTCCTGAATCTATATTATTCTTACTGGAAACTTTTTTATAGTATTTTTTTCATTATAGCATCGACAATACATTCCTTTGACAATTACCATCGATGGTATTCTTTCGTTACATTCAGAACAAAGATTATACGCAATTTCATCCATATTTTTATGAAATAATTGGAGAATTTCATGTTCCTCCTTGTTGATGTTAGTTGCTGAGAATGATCTGGCTGATTCTTCTAATTGTTGACAATTTCGTTCTATACATTTGTGTTTACATTTACGTTTAAGACGTGACTCCCGTTTCTCAACTGATTCTGCTGTTCTCTTGTTAGCTCTTTGTTCACGAGCTCTTGTAAGACGAGTCTCTCGCATTTCATTACTTTCTTGGCTTCTCTTTTGACGTTTTTGCTCCCTTTCACGATTAAGGCGTACTTCGCATTATTCAGCTGTCTCTCTTTTTTTGCTATTTCTCTTTCTAAGCGTCTCAGGGTTAATACTTTCATTATTCATTTTGTATCACAATTTTGGTTTAAGGTATAAAATTCTTTTTTTTTTCTTTTATTTCACTCAACTCACTATTTATTAACGAAAATATTTCATTTGTTAACTATATTAATCTATACGTCTGATTTAGATCAAGTAAGGAACAATTAATTTAATAAACAATATATATAATCGCTACATTTATTTGACATAAAATTTAATTTCATGTACTTTATTATTTGATATGCTTTACATAATTTTTTA